GATTCCTGGGTAGGGCGATCTTATTTGGTCCCCCATGGTACGAGACGTTTCCCCGCCATGACACAATCAAGTATTCTGGGATCATCGCACGGCAGAGCATGGCAGCATATGGCCCTGGTTTTTGCATGCTTTCCCTAAGCATGCGTTCCTTCTCGCTGTCTGAGATCCTCATGAGGGTGATGTCGCTCATGATGCTCTGCTTTGAATTAGGGAGGGGAATGTTAGTATTGGGACTGCTTTACAGCCACGCGGTGGAGGGAGAGGGGCAGCATACAGGGATCTTTCCCTGGGACAGCCGCGAGGGGGTGGGACAGGGGCAGAGTTCATGCTAGCCTGATTGCTGCCAGCAGAGACTGGCATTGCTTTCAATGTGAAAGGAGGCCAGTGCTACTATTACAGTTTTAAGCAGCCACAAGTCTACGGCTTACCATGTTTGCCTGCTACAGAAGTTCAGGTGTCCTGCCCCGCTTCTCAGATTGGCAGTGCAAGACCCCAGGCACTGAAGCCGAGGGCCGAAAATTCGACCTTGTCCTGAGTGCGCATGTGAGAGGTGCAGTGCATGGTCTTGTTCACAGAGAAAGACTATGTTCTTTGTTCACAACAAAATTTATCTGTCTCAGAAATTCACTCCCTTTTTCCCATTCCCACAGACACATCTGCGACTGTCTCCCAACCCAGCCTGGCATCACACTCCCAGAGGCTAGCGCAGATTAGGCGGAGGAAGAAGAAGACGTGTGAGGACATGTTCTCAGAACTAATGGGCTGCTCCCGAACCCAGGCAGCCCAGCAGACACAGTGGAGGGAGAACTTGTCCCAAATGCACCGAGCAATCATGGAACGGGAGGAGAGGTGGCGTCAAGAGGACCAGCAGGCGACTCAAACGCTGCTTGGACTAATGAGGGAGCAAACGGACACGCTCCGGCGCCTTGTGGATGTTCTGCAAGACCGGAGGCAGGAGGACAGAGCCCCGCTGCAGTCTATCTCTAACCGCCCTCCCCCGCCACCAAGTCCCACACCCCCCTCACCCAAAGTCCAAAGAAGGAGGGGCGGCAAGGGCCGTTAAAACTTTCAGTCAACCCCTGCAGACTGCTCAAAATTTGAAAAGTCCTTTCCTACCCACCTCACACAAGTTTCCCCCCCCCCCATTTCATGTGTGGTTCATAATAAAATATTAGTTTCTGTTAATTACTGTTTCCATGATTTTCTTTTGGAGGAGAGTCTGTCTGAAGGTGGGGAAGGGGCTTGGTAATTGGACAGGACAGTCACCTTTAGCAGGGTACAGAGGCGGAGGCAGGTCCAGCATCAGGACACATACACAGTGCAGTGACTAGTTACCCTGGTCAGTCTGGGAGGTGGTTTTCATGTTCTGTGGGGGGGGGGTTGCTCTGTGACTTTGTGGCGGGGGAGGGCAGTTACTGATCTTATGCAGCGGTCCTTATCCTGGATCACAGAGCCACGCAGCAGGGGATCTGTAACCCTCCTCCCCCTGCCAGAAAGTCACCTAGCCGACACATACACGCAGTCCCGCCCAGGAGTGCTGGCAGGCTCCGTTGAAACAACCAGTCCACCACTGCGGAGCCTGTCATTCCTGGAGTTTAGAAGCATCATTTGCATCAGAACACTAAACCCGCCCCCCGCCACAGTCTGCGTCCCCGGTTTAAAACATTCCCGCGAAAACAGTAATAAAGACAACGGTGTTCATTAACAAAACAGAACTGATTTTATTTTTTGGGAAGGGGGTGAAGGGGGTATGTAGCTGGAGAGGATAGTCAACATAAACTGGGTAAAGAAACGGGGGCAGGTTGAGCTTCTGTGTCCACAAACTTAACAGTCACTGGTTACCCTGCTCAGTCAGGAACCTAGCTTTCAAAGCCTCCCGGATGCACAGGCGCGTCCCGCTGGGATCTTCTAATCGCCCGGCTGTCTGGCTGGGCGTAATCTGAAGCCAGGGTATTTGCCTCAACCTCCCACCCCGCCATAAAGGTCTCCCCCTTGCTCTCACAGAGATTGTGGAGCACACAGCAAGCTGCAATAACAATGGGGATATTGGTTTCGCTGAGATCACAGCGAGTCAGTAAGCTTCTCCATCTCCCCTTGAGACGGCCAAAAGCACACTCCACCACCATTCTGCACTTGCTCAGACGGTAGTTGAACAGTTCTTTTTCTGTGTCCAGGGCGCCAGTATAGGGCTTCATGAGCCAGGGCATTAGCGGGTAGGCTGGGTCCCCGAGGATCACTGTAGGCATCTCCACATCCCCAAGAGTTATTTTGTGGTCCGGGAAGTAAATACCTTCCTGCAGCCGTCTAAACAGACCAGAGTTCCTGAACACGCGAGCGTCATGAACCTTGCCCGGCCATCCGACGTTGATGTTGGTAAAACGTCCCCTATGGTCCACCAGTGCTTGCAGCACCATTGAAAAGTAGCCCTTTCTGTTAATGTACTGGCTGGCCTGGTGGTCCGGTCCCAGGATAGGGATGTGAGTTCCATCTATAGCCCCACCGCAGTTTGGGAATCCCATCGCGGCGAAGCCATCTATGATGGCCTGCGCGTTTCCCAGGGTCACTACCTTTGAGAGCAGTACCTCAACGATTGCGTTGGCTACTTGCATCACAACAACCCCCACGGTAGATTTGCCCACACCAAAGTGGTTCGCGACTGACCGGTAGCTGTCCGGCGTTGCAAGCTTCCAGAGGGCTATGGCCACTCGCTTCTGGACAGTCAGGGCTGCTCGCATCCGGGTGTCATTGCGCTTCAGGGCAGGGGACAGCAACTCACAAAGTTCCAGGAAAGTCCCCTTCCGCATGCAAAAGTTTCGCAGCCACTGGGATTCATCCCAGACCTGCAGCACTATGCGGTCCCACCAGTCCGTGCTTGTTTCCTGGGCCCAGAATCACCGTTCCACAATATCCACATGACCCATTGCCACCGTGATGTCCTGGGCGCTGGGGCTCGTGGTTTCTGACAGTTCTGTGCTACTCTCCGACTTCAGGCCCTCACGGCGGTGCCATAGCCTCCTCGCCTGATTTTTCTGCATCTGCCTCAGGGAAAGGTGTATGATAAGCTGCGAGGCGTTGAGAACGGCCACAACTGCAGCGATGGTCGCAGCGGGATCCATGCTCGCAGTGCTGTGGCGTCCGCGCTGTCACTGATCAGAAAAGTGCGCGAACTGATTTCCCGCCGGCGCTTTCAGGGAGGGAGGGAAGTCGGTAGTGACGGACGGATGACGACAGTTACCCAAAAGCACCCTCTACACATTTTTTTACCCAGAAGGCATTGGCGGCTCGACCCAGAATTCCAATGGGCAGCGGGGACTGCGGGAACTGTGGGATTGCTGCCCACAGTGCACCGCTTCCAATGTCGACGCTTGCCCCGTTAGTGTGGACTCACAAAGTCGAATTACTGTCCTTAGTGTGGACACACATGTTCGACTTTGTAATATCGATTCCACATATTCGATTTAAGTGAAATCGAACTACCCTCGTAGTGTAGACATACCCTTTATCTTTGTTTTCTCAACTTGTAAATGTACTTTTTGCTAGGGTGTTTACCTCTGTTTGCTGTAACTTTGAACCTAAGGCTAGAGGGGGTTCCTCTGGGCTCTTTGAATCTGATTACCCTGTAAAGTTATTTTCCATCCTGATTTTACAGAGATGAAGTTTACCTTTGCTTTTAATAAAATTCTTCTTTTAAGAACCTGATTGATTTTTCATTGGTTTAAGATCCAAGGGTTTGGATCTGTGTACACCAGGACTAATTGGTGAGGGGATTACCAAGCCTTCCCAGGGAAAGGGGTATAGGGGCTTGGGGGGGGGATATTTCTCAAGCCTACCCAGGAAAAGGGGTGTAAGGGCTTGGGGGGGATATTTTGGGGGAAGAGGAACTCCAAGTGGTCCTTTCCCTGTTTCTTGTTAAAGCACTTGGTGGTGGCAGAGTATTAAAATTTAACCTAAGCTAGTAGAAATAAGCTTCATGCCAGTCCCCACATCTGTACCCTAAAGTTCAGAGTGGGGAAGGAACCCTTGACAGAGCCACACTTGGCTCTTGTACAGTTAAAGTGCGGCTCGCAGAACACCTCCCCTTAGCAAATTGGGGGGTAGAGCGGAAGCTTGGGGCTTCTGCCAGATACAACTGGTACCTGCTATGGGGGGGGGCAAAATGTAAAGGTTTGCTGCCCCCCCCAACAACTTCCATCACACCCCCTAGGCATGTCCCCCTTACCCTCAGCAGCCTCTCCCTCCAACTCCCAGGTGTTAGCAATGCATGGAGAGGCAGTGGCAAGCTGCAGGGAGGTGCTGCTGCATTAGCTCCCTAGGGAGAGGCAGCAGCAAAAGCAGGGGCTCTCCCTGCAGCTCCCAGCTGTTTGCCACTGCCCCTCCCCATGGCCGCAGCTCCCAGCTTGCCGGCTCCAGTAGCTGCACTGCGGGGAGGGGGCTCGGGGGCACCAGGTAACCAAGCAAACCCTGGCAAAAATCTGGGGCGAGGGCACGTGAGCCCTGAGCCCTGGCAGGTGCTTCCCGGCTCTGGAACTTCTGAAGATTGTCACATGTGGTGGGGAGGGTCAGTAAGTTTGGCCACCCCGTCTAGTCCTTAAGCTGTGCAGTGTCTGGGGATCACCCGAGGATCTGCTCAGTTCACCGGCACTGCTGCTCGGAGGGCATTGGCCTGGCTCTCCCGGGCGCGCGCTCCCCTGGCACATGCAGCAAGGAACTTTTCATCCCCAGGAGACCTGAGCCGCGCCCCGCAAGCAGAGAAACCCGCAGGAAGGAAGAGGAAGCGAGACTGGTCACCGAGGTGGCGCTTCAGAGGGCGGGGGAGGCTCGCCCCGCTTTCCCCAGGACCTGATTGACACGCAGAGCTGCGCGCTCCTTCCCCGCACCCCTCCGGCTGGCTCCCCCTCCAGCGGGCGGAACTCCGCGGCGCCCGGCTCCCCAGAGCCGTGATTGGCGGGGCGGCGGGCGGAGCCGGGAGCGCCGCTGTCAGACTCCGGCGGGCAGCGAGGGAGACGCGAGCAGCAGCTGCTCCGGGAGCCCCAGCCGCGCAGAGCCCGGGAGCGGGAGCCGAGGCAGCGCCATGAGCCAGAAATTTGACGTGATCGTTGTTGGGGGCGGCATCTCAGGTCAGTGCAGCCCCTGGCGTGTCATGGCTGGGGGCTCGCTGCCTTTGTAACTCATCGTGTACAGACTCTATGCATCCGAGGCTGGGGCTGGTATTTACACCCCCCGCCCGCCGCCTCTGTGTTCCAGGCCCTGGGAGGGCGGGGCGGGGCGGGTAACGGGGTGTGTACCTGATGGGTGCCCTTGTCTAGCACCCGAGAAAGTGCAAGCCCGACGCAGACTCATAGGCCCCTTGACCCTGATTCAGACCTGGCCCAGCGGAGGAGCAGAGGTGCAGCTGCACTGTGGGTGGTCTTGAGTTTTGTGTGCAAACTGGAATGTGATGTCCCCCAAGGCAGTGGGTGAAAGCCTTGCCCCATTGCAGTCCGGTGGGTCGGGTAGCAAGGAAACTGTAACTGCCTCTATCATGCAGCAACTTGCACGCTGTCTCACTTTAGCTATTACGGTTGCAATGTCCGGAGTTATGTTTTCCTGACCGAACTGTATTGATACTGATCTATAGCATAGGTGTCTGTTCTTGCAATAATCAGCCCAGGTTAGGTTTCTCTTTACTTAACTGATCTTATAAGGAGCGTAGGGTAAAGCACCCTTGGGACCTATTTTGAATACGTATCTCAGATAATAGATTGTCTGAGCAGGATGCTTTCTACGTTTTCTCTCCACTTCTCATTTTGGGCTCATATTTCCTTCTTTACAGTCTCAACCATTTCCTTCTCACCAGCAATAATCCTGTTGTCCCCTATCATAGGAAGCGGAACTGTCTCTATTGGCACTATCACGCTGCTGTTTGGAAGATTGCCACAGTGCGTGTGGAAATCTTTGGTACTGGTTTGAGGAAAGAGGTCATTTTCAGTGCAGCACCTCAGTGACCCAATGATCAAATGTCCCAACAGGCTGACCAGAGCCATCGGTTGATTTTAAGTGGAGAATCTTTTTCATAGAACTGTAAAGTTACAGAAGTGCCAATATTAGTAAACAATGTAGCACCCTAGTTAGGTACAATGTAATGAAATGGAGTGTAAACCCCACTGTACAATGAAACTGAATGGGGCCAGGAGAGAAAAGTTTTGGCTTGGTTTTCTTGTTTTTGAAACAGACTAGAATCGTAGGCATGGGGAGAGTTTCTTTCACATCTGAGAAGTTAGAAGAGAAGTAGAAGATGCCCTTATTGTCATTTCTTAATGCATATCTCACTCTTGCACTTTGTTACTCCTGTTTTGTCAGTAAGAAAACGGTGTATGTGTGAACTAGATGGCTCTTGTTTAATGTTATTGTTTTCACATGTGTAGGCCAAGGTTTAGGATGGGGTTCAATTCAATCTGTCATTCAACCATGACACAAACACTATTTTTAAATGGTTGTGGCACAGATGTAGTTTATATTTTCTTGATTAACATTGATATTTCCAAATTACAGTCTGACAGTTAAGACAGGGGTTTTTTCTTTGAGAAAAGATGTCCTTGCTAGAAGCCTGGGTCCCTCAGAAATTCTGGGCTTTGCACATTTCACCTGCTACAATATTCTGAACACATATTTTTATACGATAAAGCAAATTCTTGCTCCATGTACCTGTGCATGACTCCCATTTACTTTAGTGAGAGCTGCACAGGAATACCAGAGATCATAATTAAACACTGTTTTAGAATGTTTGGGTTTGCTTTGTATAAATCGTTTAAGCCTGACTAATATGCCGAATAAAGTACCTTGAGTTTTCAGATATTATCTGCTATGAAAATATTTGAGAATTCTGGAAATTATGTGAAGGAGTGACAGCAGTATTAGTACAAATACAGTAACAATTTCAACCAGAATTGAGAAACGTTCATGAAAATTAAATTTTTGTTTGTAGTAAAATAATCCTGCTTCCTTCAAGTACCCCAGATATGGTGTATTACTACACAGACACAGGAATATTCAGTTGTTATTATATGAAATTACATAGAGTGTCCTCCAATAGGAAAAAGTGTTTGTGTATTTCTTAAACAAAAATACTAAAGATTGCAAAAAAACAAGGGCTGACCTGCCTGATTGTTGTTCTGGTAACATGGGCCATTCAAGTATCATTCTCAAGGTTTAGCTCATCTCCAGAATCCTTTGATGGAACTAAAAACGTTATTATGTACAGTTGGAGGTATGACATTCTTTATAAAGTTGATATAGTTCTAAGCACTAGTTCCCTATAGGAAATGGGTCTCAACTTGTACATGGTTGTTCTGATTTCTCCATTTATAAAGATGTTTTGAAATATGTGGTGAACGTTTTTAATTATTCCTTGTCATTTTAACTACAACAAGCAACCTTAAATTGCTTCAAGATGCTTATTCATAGGATTAAAGCCTAACAGAACCAATCAGGAAACATCAAGATGTTAATAGTCTCTGAAAACATATCAGTGAAACGAAAAAATTGTGAATAAACATAAGACTATGACACTCTGTGGGTACAAGAACACTTTCATTGACCATGAAAACTGTTCTTCAGGCAGTGCCAATTTCATAAGAATTGGTGTTATTTTCTCAGTGACTTTCTTATTACTTTCATTTTGAACCGACATCAAAATAAGAAAGTGGTGTTAGAAGAGCTAATAATGTACATCCCATTCATTGAAACTGTACATTAATTGCAAGACCATTCACAGCTGTGCTCCAACTTTATCAGCTCTTGAGGTTTTTTGCATGACCACCCTCTCTTCACCCCCTGTGCTCCATTATTGGTTCTATACCCTGTGTTATGCAGGAGGTCAGACTAGATGATCATAATGATCCATTGTGTCCTTAGAGCCTCTGAGTGACTTCAGTGGGGTCAGGATTTCAATGGCAAAACTCCCACTGACTTCAATAGGGTTAGGATTTCACTATGAATCTGATGCAAGCCTTGACTGCCTGTTTGTCTGCTTCTTCCACACGGTCTTTGTACCTTCTTCCATGTTTCTGTTATGCATAGAACACCCTCCTCAAACTGATCCAGAAGGCCACTGCTCTCTCTTCCTTCACATATCTCCCAAATACTCACTTCTTCGTGATGCCTACAAGAAAGGACAGATTAAGTGGCAGTGGAGTACACTTGAGGTGTTCTCTAATCATTACACATGTATGAAATGTATATAATGTACAGTATATGCGTGTTTCCCATCTTCTTAAATGGCAAGTTTCTTGGCATGGACTGTCTTTTTAAATGTTTGTTTAGCAACTAGCAGAACGGGGCTCTGATTCTAACTGGGGCTTCTGAGTGCTACTGCAATTCAAATGGTACTGTAGTAATTATTATAAATTTCAAGTTACAATTTTAAATGAGCAGAAATGTGAAAGATAAGATTTTTCTCTTCTGACAGAGGAAACTGTGTGCATCAAACCTGGCTCCTATACATGGTGCATTGGGTTTTCCAATATATTGCACTGATTGAAGCTCTGCCTTAGTTATGGATGTTGACTTTCTAGTCTGTCTTTGATGGGAAGATGAGGAGGGCTTAGGTTTCATTCTGTCCTTTGTTAATTCTCCGAAGAAGCTGAAGGTTTGTTTTCTCTCTTTGTGGGATGATTCTGTGTGAGTGTCATGAAAACAGTCAAATTACCAGGATATTAATTAAAACAAAGTTTATCAGAAAAGTGAGAGAAGATCGGGTATAAAATGATATGTAGCCTTAATTGGGTAATAGCTATTCTAGATATGGCTCAATCGTGCAATTAAACACTGGAGAAAACAGAAAAAGAAGATGCCCAGATCTCTTGACTTTGGACATTAGCCCAGCTTGTCAGGCCTCTTCGACTGTCATAGTCTGTCTCTGTCAATCATCACGTATCCCAGTATCTCAGAAACCCAATCCCTGAGTTCTTCCCTACATGTGTGTCACATTCCAGGTTGCAATCCAGACTAGCAAGGTGCCCTCCAACCTTGGGTGTCTCACAATGCTTTGCTGCTGTAGCTCCCAACCTGGGCCCCTCACAGACCACAGGCAGGTCACACCCTGAGTGTCTGTGTACAGCTGCAGCCTGCCAGCAACACTCCAGTCAACACTCTGGCTTCCACCAGCCTTGGTTACCTCTTGCAAGGTGACTCCAACACTCTCCCAGTCCCGGATTTTCCCAAAAGTGCCTCCTGGACAGTTCAGATACTAGAGGTCCGTTGCCCCTGTAAGGGATCAATATACAAAAGTTTGCTACTTTAATTGGAGTTACCAAACAATTCAGTTTAAACACCAGGCTGGATTCGTTATGATTAAAGAACAAAACAAGCTTATTTAACTACACGCTTCAGTCAAAATTTCAGCTTATGTCATACCTTTACATATAGTGTTGCTGTGTACATTTCACCATGATATTAGCAATCAGCAAGTTATTGGTTTTCAAATGATACCTCACAAGGCATATTTTGTACAAAGATTATTATAGTGGTGAGTAGGGTGTGAATATACAGGTGCATTTGGTCACAAAGTGACAGTCTTTATATTCTTGAGAGTCTTTTGAAGTAAAGGTAATACTGTGCTTGTTTGTATGCCAAGCAGGTAAGCATCTCTGATAGACTCATTGCCGCCACCATACATAAGATTATTGTGGCCCTCTTGTTGTGGAATAATACTATTTTCAATAAATTTTGAACATAGAGTAACTATCTGATGTCCTGGACAAACAGACTTAACCCTACCTCCTATTATTTCAAAAGGGTCTTTGAACTTGTGAAGGTGCCCTCTAATCATTCACAGCCTTTGCTAGCCTACCTACATCAGACTAAAGATAGTTTGCATAGTTATGGTCCTTTTCTCTAGGAGTCTATGCTTTCCCTTGCTTAAGGGTTAGACCATAAGTTAGTTTCTCTCTTGATCATTACTTTAAAAGTATCATACTTCAGTAATTTCATATTTCTCCAGAAATTCAAATATATTTAATTTAATTTAATTTAATTTAATTAATGGAGATATCCCATCTCCTAGAACTGGAAGGGACCTTGAAAGGTCATCGAGTCCAGCCCCCTGCTTTCACTAGCAGGACCAAGTACTGATTTTGCC